CATTATTCTTTATAGTTGTGTAGTATTTCATTGTATATGTGTACCACAAATTGTTCATCCATTCATCTGTTATAGGCATTTAAGTAGTTTACATCTTTTTGCTATAGTGAGTAATGCTGCAATGAGTGTAAGTGTGGATGTGTCAGTTCATGTCATTACTCTTATATCTCTTGGGTATATGAGAAATAGTATTGCTGGATCATAAAATATTTCTACTTCTAGCTTTTTGAGGAAGCACCATACCAATTTTCATAGTGATTGTACCACAAATGTTACCATATCATCATCAGTGTGTAAGAGTTATAATACCCCCCCAACTTTGCCAGCATTTGCTGTTTCATGGTTTTTTTTTTTTTTTTTTATCAGTGCCATTTTTGAAGGGGTATTATAGCATTTAATTTTAGTTTTGATTTTCATCTCTCTAATGACTACTGATTGCGAGCATCTTTTCACGTGTTTGTTGGCTTCCTGAATGTCCTCTTTGGTGAAATGTCTGTTCATCTTCTTTCCCCATTTTTTGTTTGATTATTCATCTTTATGTTCTTGAGTTGTAGTTTTCTATATATTTCAGAGACTAGACCCTTGTCAGCTTTATAATTTCCAAAGATTCTTTACAATACTGTAGGTTCTCTTTTACCTTTTGGTAAAGTCTTTTGATGAGCATAAGTATTTAGTTTTAGAAGGTCCCAGTAATCTAATTTATATTCTGTTATTAATGCATTTTTAGTTGTGTTTGATAGACTATTTTTATGGAAATTTAAGACCTCTAGTTTTTTTTCCCATATTATCTTCCAGGAACTTTGTAAGTTTAGCTTTAATATTTAGGTTCTTGAGACATTTTTTGTTACTTTTGTGCGCAGTGTGAGGTATAGATACTCCTTCATTTTTTTGCAAGTGGATATCTAGTTTTGCCAGCACTATTTTTAAAAAGACTATTTTTTTCCATTGATTGGGCTCTGACCCTTTGTTGAAATAAAGTTGCCAATGAGTTGGTAGATTTACTTCTGGCTTCTCAATTCTGTTCCCCTGGTTCATGTGTCTCCTGTTGAGCCAGTACCATGCTGCTGTAACAACTATGCAGTCTTGTACTGGAGGTTATCATTTGGAGAGCAGCTTTACCTAATATAATTGATATAAAACAGTGAATAAGCTGTTTATTTTTCATTATGAACTGCAGTTGGTGGAGAGAGACTACATTGTTTGCTCCTGAGAACTATTGATTCTTTATATGTTCCTTGTTGTTTACCAGAATGTCCAGTGACTGGAATGACACAAGTTCTGAGCCATATCCTCTTTCTACAAATCATACTGGGACAAATATGACATCAGCCTTTACTGCTACAAATAGAAAATAAATAACACTTCTTTTTTCATTCTATTTACTAGGAATAATGATACTTACTATTCATATGAGACATTATTAAAAGGACCTTAATAAGGAAATTATTACAATAATATGGTCATAGCTACAAGTCTTTAAGGGTTATACTTTTACAATTATTTACATTTAGCCTTTGTGTAGAGAAGCCATCTTTTATTGCATGGTTTTACTTTTGTATACAAAGGAGAAAAATATAACATAGAAAATAATCAAAATGTTCTGCCCTATCAGACTAGTGGAGATATCCATAGTGTGGTCAATCTTTCACTAAAAGACATTTTAGCACCAGTAAGTGCTAAATTCTGTGGTAGGTACTGAATATAAAAACTGGAAAATGAGTAGTTCCTTACTATGAAAGATAATGACATAGTGCAGGGCAGTGGCATGTAAACCCCTAATGATACTACAAACTTGTGCATTACAGTAGATATAAACAAGGAAAGGAAAGAAATAAGTGTGCTTGTGTGAGTTGTGTCAGGCTACAAGTGTTGGAACTGAATGTTGGTAACTGTCATTGGGAGATATTTTTAAACTTTTTTTCTGTTATTAAATTTAACACATAGCATAAAAGATATATGTGCAATTTAATGAAATAATATAAAGTAAAAATCATGTAAACACCAGGAAAGCAGAAGATAGAAAATTGCTAGCAATGTAAAAATATCTCCACCTCTAAACATAGGCCCCTGCCAGGTTGCAAACCTCTCTGTTCCCCTGTTGTTGTTGTTAGGTGCTATGCAGTCGGCTCCAACTCATAGTGACACTGTGTACAAACAGAACAAAACACTGCCTGGTCCTGTGCCAGCGTCACAATCCTTGCTATACTTGAGCGATTGTTGCAGCCAC